TTGGTATGTAGTTGGATTTATAACCTGAAAATGTTATGTAGTTGGTCTTATAACCTGAGCTTCAGGTGAGGTAATTTACGTGCAGTATCCTCGGTGTTCTTTTTTTTATGTTAGAGGGGGCAGACGAGCAGACGATTCACCTGATGGAAAGTGACCATCGCTGCCCATGAACGTCTGCAACTCAGCAGTCACAAACGCGTTGCCGGCCTCTTAGGAAGGAGTACGATCTTTTCTTTAAGGTCTGAAGGTCGTATCGGTCCGGCAATACCGCAGACGATAACCCGTTCCACAGATTGGTTGTGCGCCATAAAAGTGTCTCGAAAAGCGCACAGTAGTGAAGCGCCAACTATCCAGGTGATGAGGATGAAAATTTTGCCGTGTGGAACGATGGCGGAAAATTGCGGCTGATATTAGTCCGAAAAATTCTCTCTCTATATTATCCTTATATGTTCCTTATATCCTTCCTTATATTATCCATGATATATGCGATAGAGAATGCAATGTGCGGATCCTATGCAGCCTCATCATCATCATCGACATCGACAGCCTTTACTAGTCCACTGCTGGACATAGGCCTCTCCTTAGAAAGGAGGTTATGGTTATGTTATGGCTATGCAGCCTAATTAGAGTTAATTTCTGACCGTATCCCTCGCCGAAAGTACGACATTGCACCTATTATTCCCAATTACCTTCTCCGTGTCAGTCAGTTGTCCTGGAAACGTCCTACAGTCTCCACTCTGAGATCGGTTTGCTCCATCATCAATCCTCGACACAGGCGACCAATCCATTGCAACTTCTGCAAGCTCATTCTACGAGCTATAACAGTAACTTTGGTTCTTTTTCGCAAGACCTGAGGTAGTCTGTATTTAGTGTATGACTCATTATTTAAATGTAATTTTTTTTACGTTATTCTTGTAATGACGCACCTGACACTCTTAGTTCTGACGCAAGTTGTCTTTATTAAAACATTAAAATTGTTAAAAGTACTAAAATTGTGTTACCGAGAACGGAACAATACGGCTAGATAATGTATTACTAGTATTTATGTAAACAGTCAATTTATAACAAAGTTATTGTTTACAAAGACGTTAATTGGGATGTGTAACGGTTTCCTTGAATTGTGGTGTGAAGCTGTTGGTGTACTTTGATATTTTATTTACAGAGTGATCATGTAAACTTGTCAATTGTGAGCAAGTAAAATAAAATAGGCATATTTTATATATTTACATAACTGTATGCAGGGCATTCACACACACACACACACACACACACACACACACACACACACACACACACACACACACACACACACACACACACACACACACACACACACACACACACACACACACACACACACAACCACGGACACACAATAGGTATATATACACAATTCAAATGTCTATGATCACTCGGTGCATAAAATATCAAACCACACCAACAGGATCACATCACAATTCAAGGACATATATATTTATATATGCACAAACATACATATTTATATTCGTACACTATGAATATAAGAAAATTGGTTGGTTGCTATCGATTGGATGATTCTGCTATCTCGTTAAGAAGGTCATGTACCTTCTTTTTAAACACGGAATGGTTCGAAGACATCCTGACTTCAAACATGGAACACATGGATGGCTCTACCAGTACGGTAGAGCAATCCATGTGTTCGACATCACGACCTCACAGAAAGACTGTGTTAAGTAAATCTTTAGTTACGTTTCACAGAGTGAGTGAGGTAACGGGGCCTCACTTACTCGGTCAATTTAGCGGACTGGGTGTTAATACGTGTGCTAACCGAACTAAAACTGTGGTTTTATTATTGTTGACTTACCTGTATCGTCCATTTTCAAAGTTGTCGCTCTTGACGTACTCAATAAACTGGGCCAGATCTGCCAGCGCCTGATCAACGGTTAGGTAAGCCAGGCCAGGTAAGCTGGTGTCCCTGAAATCAGAAGATATAACATTATCACATAGCTTTTAGGGTTTAGAGAGAAGGAATGTTCAAACCCTTTTTTTTTTTTTTTTTTAACGTGTGGCAATCCCCTCGGACCGTCACCCCACCGGGGTTTGCGGCGGGGTGGTGTGTCGGACTCGAACCGACTAAAACCACACGGTGTGCCCTCTTTGCGCTTCCAGTTTAGGAGGGGTCCAGGTAGTTATCGCCTTCTGGACCCCTCCTAGCGCCGGCCCGCTCCTACTGCGGGCCCCGTCTCAAAATTTTCCTCTCTTTAGGCGACGTCTGGCACACGCGGACGCCGCCCCCTCGCAGCTGGCCAAACTAATGCGGGTGGAGGGGAAACCCACCCCATCCACCCGCGGCCACACTCAGGGCGGCATGAGGCGCAGGTAGGAATGTTCAAACCCTATACCAACCCGTCTGGCCAGCGTGGTATAGTAGGCCAAAACCTCCTTTTTAAGGAGAGGCTTATGTCCAGCAGTGGACTATTAAAGGCTGTTGATGACAATGTAGGTTTTTTTTAACTATATAAATTGTTCTGGACATAATCTAGGTAAAAACAGCGGAACATTTAAAAAGTGTAAAAGTATTCTATCAGGCAATCTAGCTTTCATAATACAAGCTCTGCTTAGTTTGAAACTAGATGGCGTTGTGTATAAAATGTCCGAAAATATTATTATTATTATCTTATGATGGGTCTGTTGGTCTAGTGTTTAGTGATCCTCACTGCTAATACAGAGGTCTTGAGTTCGATGCCTACATAGAACAAATAAGTGTGGACAAAAATGTTTAGAACTATTTAAGTATGTTTATCAGCAGTCTGGTTACCAGCACAGGCCCTGCTTAGTTTGGGATCATACAGCCACGTGTAAAATGTGTGATATTATTATTCTTCTCTCAAATGTCAAGTCAAATCCAGGTACAGCGGCAGTCAAATACTATCAGGGACCCATGTGCTCTTTTGCTCTCTATACCATTAAAAAGAAGTAAAAATAGACAAGAATACATCTCACACACAGCCGTCTTATTCCAAACTGGATACACCAGGTTGTACAGAGTCTATAACTATCGCAAGAAGACTGCTGATAAACATAAACTCAAAACTAAAAATATCTTTATATCATAACAATTTTTTTAATTTTTTTTGTCATCGTCTTAGACTCTAAAGCCATAGATCAACATACACAATAGCAACAATCTGTTTTGTCAAATATTTAGCAAAAGGAAGATAATTAATTACATGCCTCTGCCCATATACAACCACCCCCTTCCAAGGGGCCTTATGAGAAGAAAGGGCAAATAAAGTCACGGCCACTCTTTTTTAATTACAGCTAAATACAGTTGTGTCATTAAATATACAACAACATTGTCTTAATATGTGCGCCAGTATGTCATTTATTAAGGTCTAAAATGTAAAAGCTATGAAGAGAAAACAAGATAAAGAAATAAGACGGAATAGCATTGAAAGTAAAGTAAAACATAAAAAATGAGAAAAATGAATAAAAAACATACTAGCCGACGCTATATACCTTTAATTAGATCATTAAATGTATACAATACGTACACTGTAGATAAATTACACTGGGATACATAACAAATTATCGAATTATTTATTTGTCTAGAGAATTGAACACACGATCTCTGTATCAATGGTCATCATCACTAATCACTAAACCAACACATCAGTCAAACAACCCACTTAATGATTGCAATTTTATATACCTTTTGAATTTTCTAACTATCACTCAGTATTATATCTTGCGACAAATCTCTCACGTAGGACGTCAGAAGCCAGCTCATAGCTGACCTCAGGGTCACAGGGCCAATGGACAATTGACCCCGTAATTCGTCATGTCCTGGCCGTTAAGACTGGATTTACATTAAAGTGGTCAATTGAATTATTATGAGCATATGTGACATTTATAGATACTTCACAAATCACATTCATCATCAACAGCCTTTAATAGTCTACTGCTGGACATAGGCCTCTCCTTAGTAAGGTTTTGGCTTACTATACCACGCTGGCCAGACGGGTTGGTATAGGGTTTGTTTCAAGTTTTCCTTCTCTTTGCTGTGCTGTGATCCTGCAAAGTTTGCTCTCTTAGCCGTCTCTTGCGATACCCACGGGATGAATAGAGGTGGTACACTTCGTATTTCACACAAAAAATCACATTACACAACATGAAAACATTTTTTTTTGCTTGAACGCACTAACCTTAAAAACTATCATGCCGATTTGTATTGTCGTATGCGCTATGATCTCCAGGACTAGAGCAGTAAGTAAACATTTAGAATATTCTCAGTAAAAGTACTACGATTCTTTTAAAATTTAGCTTGGTTGACTGATTTTATATCGATAAAAAGAGAAAAGTAGATTTCGGCGTTTTTAACTGAATGATATTTAAAAGTAAACTATCTGTACCCTGCCACGTTTCACACACATTGTGGTCGCCTTGATGTGAAATTAGAAAAAAAAATTGACGCAAAATACTTAAAAACAATCCTTGAAGCGGGTTGTATATCGTGTCAAAATTTGAGCTCAATCGGTGCAACACTTTTTGAGTTTTTGAAGCGTATACAAACCAACTTAAAGAAAAAATTACATAACACTGGTTTTCTGAGAGGCTGGACAAACGATTATTTAATAAGACATGTTATAATAAGATAGTATTAAAATACTTTTGCATGCCAGTTCGCTTGCAAAACAAAGAATTTCAATCTTTAAATTTTTGCAGAATCAGTGTTTTACGTAAAAAAATGTAGTATTATCACAGAAATAAAACCAAGCATTGTGATTCAAAACATCCGATTATCCGAAACATTACATAAGGCAAGTTGAAAATGGCTCCGAGTTGAGAGCACAGCTTCCCAAACCCTCCCTGGGGGGAAACAAACCGTTTTCTTCTTTCACGCAAAAGTGACTTTAATTCCACAAAAATATTACTTTGAGTTTCGGCCCATGCATACTGAACGGCCTATTACAAACTTATTACAGCTGATGGGGGAGACCTTATGTTATTAAAATAAGGGTTTATTTGCTTGTTTTATATTCAGGGTATGTTTGTAAGAAATTAAAGAGGTAATTAGTAAGGATTACAGTTAAGGCTTGAAGATAGATATTGGGGTCGACAGAGACGGCGGTACTTAGCATATTTTCTTGGCGATTTTTGTAATCATTTTATTAGCAAGAGCAGTGATTAGCATGTTAATTAAATGTGAGTTGACCTTTTTTATAAACATAGCTGTTTATTTGGGAAGCAATAATAAGAAATCTACATTCTGAATAGTAAACTGTGGCGTTTTCTTTTCTTTAAAGTTGATAATCACTGAAAGTATCAATCCAATTTGGATAATTCTTTTCATAATAGATAGAGTATTGATTGAAACAGATTTTCAGCTCTGTAGCATCACGCTATCAGTTTTAGGAACGGAGCAGTGAACATAAATGTAGTATCTAAGTAATAAATAGTGTCAATTTTTTTTAAATAATCTACAGATTTACTTATAAATATTACAAGCATTATTATTTAAGAGCATAAATTCGAATGTCTTTATTTAAATTACTTTAAAATTAAAAGCTTCGTAATAGATAAAATACAATATTAACAGTTTAATAAAACTAATATAAAATAAACAATAAAAAACTAAACTTAAAAAAAGTTGGAGTGTTTCATATAAGTAGATTTCTATTGACTGCACGGCGCTTCCTACTGCGCCGAGTGTTGAAGGTTCGATCCCCACATGGATCACATTTTGTATGATTCACAAATTGTTGTTCTGAGTCTGGGTGTTCTTTGTGTCAGTTTCATGTATGTTTGTAAATTCCCCCGCGACACAGGATATAATGCGGGAGTTGTCTTTTTTTAAAAAGAAAAATAAAAGAAATTAATCTGAACAATTATACATTTAAGTTAACCAAACAACTAAGTTTAGCTAATCTTGTTTGTAAACAAACAGTTTAAATTATGTAAATAACTTAGGCTATTAATGTTATGGTATTACTCACACCACCACAGTCCCTGACCCCACTATTCTACATATCATATATGGTGCAACACTACCATAAACCGGACAATAGTGGGATGATACATAGCCGACAGCGGCACGTGTCCTTTTTTTTTTTTTTTTTTTTTTTTTTTCCGTGCGGGAAATCCCCTCGGATACCACCTGTCGGTGGCATGTCGGACTCGAACCGACTAAAACCGCACGCCTTCGCCGGGTACTAATAGCCGGGGAACCAGGTATACCCTAGAAAGGAAGGCCCTGGTGCCCCGACATACCTCGGGCCATCTACAGACGAGTAGACGACCCCCGCCCCGTGTGGGAACCCCATGTTCCCTGTGCTCCCTGAAAGCGAGCGCGCTTCGCAACGCGCTCGCCGCCACCCCGGCCTGCTTCTGCTAGGGTGACAGATGGCCTCACCTGTCACCCCCAGGCCTGCGCTTATGGAGGACGGAGGTCGTTCTGCGACCTCCGGCGCCTGAGTCGCCTGCGCTGCCTGGCCCGTGCCCGGGCCTGGCGGGCCGGGAGAGTTCTAAACCTCTCCCGGTCCCGCTCCGCCGTCTCCTTCGCGAGCATAACTTGCTCGCAGAAGGAGACGGCAGAGTTCCACGCACTCTCGCTCCGCACGATAGCCGCAATCAGGCTATCGAGCGAGAGAACTCCCACTCCGATGGCCGCCACGAGGTCTCGCCTCTGCTCAACCCACGCCGGGCACTCTGCCAGCGTGTGGAGAGCCGTGTCCACGGTCTGGCCATCGCAGTGGTGGCACTCAGGCGTTGGCTCCTTGCGGATCAGACACAGGTGATCTCCGAAACATCCCTTCCCAGTGATCACCTGCGTCAATCGGTATGAGAGGGTCCCGTGACGCCCCTCGAGCCAATCCTCCATAACGGGTCTTACCGCCGCAATGACGGCGTGCCCAGCGCTCGGTTGCCCGAGTCGTTCCCTCAACTCCCCTATGATGACCTGGCGGAGTTGGGATT